CCAAGGTAACACACTTGTGAAATGGCCCTGAAATTGCATGTTTCTCATGAAACAATATGTAAACATCTAAGAAATATGGGAAAGCTCCTTAAAGAAGGTGTTTGGGTGCCTCACAAACTCTCCGATGATCATCATTTCCAATGTGTGAACATTGCTTCGTCTCTTCTGGCACGTAATGCGCGTGAACCATTTTTGGACAGAATTATCACCGGTGATGAAAAATGGATTCTTTATGTGAATATTAAACACCAAAAACAATTGCTCAGTCCTAGACAAAAACCACTTCTGACTCCAAAACCTGGACTCCATGCACAGAAAGTGATGCTTTGCATTTGGTGGGACATCAAATGAGTAATTAATTTCAAACTCCTTACCTAATATATTATATATATGACAGTACTTCAAGCTAACATCTTGTTCTAAAAATTTTTAATGTCCATTTCAATAACAGTAGTGGTTAGAATGTTTAATATATCTAGTTTTATTACAGACTTTTTTGCATTGTTAGCTTAGTATATGAATTCGGGACTAGCCTAAATCTTCTATGCTTGCAGAACCTTGTAAGATACTGTTGAGCTAATGGCTGAGAACATCATTAACAGCAAAGGTTTGATTTGGTTAAAATTTTGTGCAAAGCTACTCGAGGGCAATATGTGCTAGCTATCTTTAATTTAGCAGTGATAGACTAATGGGAAGGCATATTATCAACACCACCCACTGCCGACTCTTGGGCAACTCTTTTATCAACAAATAGAAGGATTGACCATAACATTATAACACCCCCACAGCTGAATGGGAAAGCATGTTTGATGAAGGGGATTTGAACATGCAACCCACAGAAAGTGAATCAAGCACTCTAACCACCAGGCCATGCCAATCCTAACAGCAAAGAAACCCAACTGATAAAATAATTTATTATATAAAGTTGACAAGCCATCCATCTGTCACACCAATATCTTGGCTGTTGTGGTACCATTTAACATGCAACTGGTGCTTTCTGTCAGGAGAAGCAAGTTTCTCGTTTTAAAAATTTTCCTTCTTAGGTATATATATAAAATGGAAAATGCTCTACTTTGGGCATATAATTAGATTTAAGGGTAAGTTGGTAGATATCATGATGAGTAATAAAATTTAATCAGTTATATGCATGCCCCACGCTCAGTATTGCTGACACACAAAAATCATAATCATTGGCTGAAATTCCCCATTACATTTGTTTGGTTGTCACGGAGACACATTGATACATCATCAAATTTTGTCCTATCCAAACTCTCAACTACAACTCTATAATAACCCACGTTTTACCCGCAGCACATTTCAATTTTGAAAATGCCCAAATTAAAGCAAGCTTCTTCAGCTCAGTAGGCTAACAATGCCAAAACCAGGAAGACAGTCCAAAGAGAAGATTCTGAAATTCATAATAAAATTCACTGCTTTTAGCATCACAATTAATAATTTGCAGGGTCATACAGTTCACCAAGTAGGAATATGTCTGAGAATCAGTTTTTTTGCATGTTTCAATCTAAAAAGATTTATCAAGAAGAAAATTTGAACATAACTTTAAAATATACAAAAAAAAGTTAAAATGATAATCAAGCAATACTAAAAGGAGATGACCGAATATATGTAAAATATATATATGTTGTTTTCACGAAATAACAGAAATAGGATAATCATTCTTCATACATATATTGTTACTAGATTATAATTAGTTTTTAGAAAACATTTATTTACATACAATTTTGAGAAGAAAATTAATCATTATTTCTCATCATATGACAGGCATATGAATATAAAAAAAATATTTATTTAGCTATATTCATTACCAAGTTTATTTTTGATCTTGCTCTAAGTAGGTAGCTTGCTCTGACCAAAAATTAGTATTATTGAGTAAGTACAGATATCTTAAATATGCGACTCCTAGTCTCTATCAAAGAGTTAAGTTCCATTATTTCAATAGATGAAAAAAGAGAATCAACAGCAATAAACATGAATAAAACAATAAACCATTCGGTTTTCAGGAAATAGCCTACTCACATGAAGGTCCCATACTCGAACTTCACCACCAAGACAGCCAGAAGCCAATATTTCATTAGAGGAAGGATGAAATGCCAAACACCATGGAGTGCGGGGATGACCTTCTAAAACATGTACGAGTCTCCCTGTTTTGACATCACACATGTATATTTTATGGTCTCCATGAGTGGAGGCCACTTTAGTCCTGCAATTTTAGATATTGTGAGCATATTGTTAAAAAAATATAAACATATTATAATCAAAAGTAGAGTTTGATTATTTTGAAAAATGTGGCTAAAGAATACTTATGTATGGAAGATTAACACTTCAGTAACTTATGTTTAATCCACAGTTTCAATGAAATGCATTAAAAACATACATTAACACATAAAGTAATACAGGGTTGAGAAGAATAAACTAATATTTTGGTTGATCCTTGGTTCTAGAACATACAGGCTGGAAGTCAGAGGGGTCTATGTGCTATCTGTTGCATTCAAGGCCATTTTGGAATACTAGATGTTTCCATTATTTACTGTTAGGATAATCAATAAACATTGGACTTTTGCTACTTAATATGTTTCAATGATGAAAATTACAGACTAGTTGACATAAAACCTGGTTATTTCCACTAAGGCAAATTACTGAATAATAACTTAAAGACCGAGTCTTTTACAAGGCCAATGTGGATACTTAATTCATTTTGCAAAATGGTATACAGTAGGTGTAGAATGTTTTTGTGTTTGTCAGAAATTTCCTGGTCTATAGATTTCTTCTTCCCATATATATAACATAACTTATGAAGCTGAAAATTATTTTGGTCTATGTACTGTATTTTTCGGAATATAAGATGCACCGGTGTATAAGACGCACCCTTTTTTTGAACACAAAGTTTTGGGGGAAAAAAAGCTACAGTCGCATTTGAAAGATTTTTTATTGAACAAAAATTCAATTTGATACTTTAAAAATTAGTGTATATTGTTCTAAACACAAAAGAGCTCAAAACATCAAAATAAGAAAATACCGTAAATCAAAAAAAGGTTTACTGTTATTTAGTTTGGTTCAGAACCTACAAAATCTTCATTGCTTTCACTGTAATTTACTTTTTTATTATTTAGGGAGCATTATAAATAGTTATGTTTTTAAAAGAAAAAAACTACTATTGTTATAAATAACACATTCAATTGAACTAAACTATGCATGCTTATATAAATATATTTACACATGGCTTGTGTATAACATATATATACATATATATTATTCATACTTTCAGTGTATAGGAAGCAAGCAGATTTTGACATCAAATTTTGGGGTAAAAAAGTGTGTCTTATACACCAAAAAATACGGTAACTAAAATTCCTTAAAAAATGCAAAATCAAAAGAACATTATACACAATCCCACCAACTTTCATTAAGTTATGTCTATCTTTGTCCAATTTCGACTCCATGTGGTTGAGTTCTCACATAATTATAATGTCTGATGGAAAAAATGTCTATTATACACATATATATGTAATTCTACACAAAAAAAGAAAAGCTCACATTAAGACAGATGGCAAAAAATTAAAAGATCCTTTTTTATGATCTGCCATTGCACTTTAAGATATATATGTGCAATTTCAAGGCTTAAAAAGACATTTTGTAATTGGTTGGCTGTCTGTCAACAAGTCAGTTAAAAAGGAGCCTCACATGTAAATTTCACTTAGTTTAAACATCAAAGCAGAGGAAGCAATTTTGGATTGAGCCTACTGCAGAGGCTGATTATATTATATTAAGACTATTTTGGAGCCTTACTGTGCTGTTACATCCATGTCGCCACATCTGAACATGTTCTCTCTAATGTCCATGCATCACGACAATAGCCTTACAGTATAGTTTCTATTGCAAATGGTTCTAAGGCTTTTACATATAAGCACACCTCTCCTCCCTACCTTCTATCCATACTCTGCCTAGAGTATGAGAAAAATGGTTTTTCCACTGCATTTTAACAGTGATTACACAGAAAAATATTAGATGTTGCATCTGACAACTTTACCAATATATCTTCACAACGAATAGCATAAATACTCATTTCATTCTCCATGTGATTGAGGTATGTGTCAGTTGAACAAGTATGTCCCTGAGACTTTTCCAGATGGATATCCTTCTTGATTATGTTGCATAGTATTGTTTGGAACAGATGGAAGGCTTTTGACACTGACCTTTGTGTTCATGGATTCTCACATGTTGCAAGATGCTGCACTCTGCTTATCATGGTTAAGTATGAATTGTTGCAGATCTCTTTCTGAATGTCCTGGTGTCCCAAGTTAATCCATATTCCTTTGCTTCTAAACACCATTAAGAACAAAGGATATCCCCATCTTAGAAATTCTAAATCTTCAATCTGAACATATACTTGATCGGAGTGTATGAATATTTTGCAGTTTTTGCACTTCCCGAAGCATTTGTTTGTTTGAAGTTAAGTACAAAGCTACACAATGAACTATCTGTTCTATGCCCAAAATGGGTATTGAAATTCAGTTTCTAGCTTTGTAAGTCTGCAGACATACTGCTGTGCCACTGGGGGGGCTTCCCAAAGTGATTAATTGCAAGTGACATCACACTACCTACAAAATGTCAAACAATGTCCAAATGTAGTTCTAATACACTCCGTTCTACTATAAACTAACATTTTCCTTACCTAAAAATGTATTTCTGATAGATACCTTCTCATACAGAATAGCTTCTTTCCTTTTGAGTTTGCAAATTCTGCCAAAAAGATTTGCAACCACCCACCTTGTGAAACATCCTACCTAATTTCATGTTTTATCACTGCATGATGATGATGTCATGTAGCAGAATCCTTCATCAATAAGAAAGTAACACACCTCCATTCATAATGGCTTCCTCTACAATCACGTTTGTGAATCCTCATTCTTTGATGAGGTAATGAAGAACTATGCACCAAAAAGTGGGGAGGATGGATAGAAATGTGTGAGAAGATGAGTATTTATCAGAAATATATTTTCAGGTAAGGAAAATATTAAATTACAAAACAAATACTCACCTCCACAAAAATAGCTAGAATCACACTTTGAGATGATGAAGGGACCAGTGCAAAGATTACTTAGATGAGCTCTGCTCCCTTCAGAAAGCTTTCAAAGTAAGTCCATGAAGTGTGACACCTGATGGTAGGGGGTTCCATAGGGACACACCAGTGGGAGATTGCATCTCATCTCATCTAGGGTATACTCTTCACCCATGTAGGAGAAAGGAATAGCTATAAAAGCCATAACTGTGACAGAAGAACAGGTAGAATAGGTACATGGCTGTCCAAGTACTCACACACAAGTTGTCGGACAGGCAATATATGTAGTAAGGTTGGGGTTCATTCAGATGATACCTTGTGTGCACACTTCTGCCATCAGACTTGATGGGTCAAAACCAGTTGTGGGAGAAGAGCACTTAAAATAATCATCTATGTTCACCTCCTCTACCATCAGTCTCTGCAAGTCCCTTGCCAGCTACAGGAAGAGGGAACTGTATAGAATCATGTCTGTATCTAAACCTATATAAACCTCTACTCAACAATCAGTCATTATGGGCCTCATGCTTGTGAGTGAGTGATACATCACAGGCGCATATGGTAGGTTTACCTCAACTGAACCATTACTCAACAAGCCCTATGCCAGCTGCTGTGGGAAGAGGGCATCATATTATATACACCTCCACTCAAGTGTCATTCTTTACAGGATGCATGCCAGCTGCAAGAGTGGGGTGTTTTTTTTTCAGTAATAGTGTTCATTTTAACTCTACTAAACAGATATTTGCCAGAGGAGAAGAATTTGTAAGATAAAGATATAGAAAGGACTGGTATGGCAAGTTATATCATCAATCCACTTGATGAATGTGATGTATCATAGCTATGTATGTGGGGTGAACCACATTACACTTCGGTGTCCACTTCTAATCACTGAAGGACCCCTTGTTCTATCCCCAGCAAGTTTAGGTCCAAATCAGCGAGGATTCTTCATGGTCCACCACCCTAGCAACTGGAAACTAGTGGGTGGCAAGGGTTTTCCATGCTCCACTCAACAAGGGAAAGAATTAAAATAGGGGAGACCAAGAGAATACACCCAGATACCCATTGGTCCTTCAATCCAAAAAACATCTTTTACTGGAGATAATGCAGTGGATGACTGCTGGTTTGTTTCATATAGTCCTCGGAATGTGTATGGTCTGAATTGAAAGGAAAAGCAATACATGTATATATATATTGTGTGTGTGTGTGTGTGTGTGTGTGTGTATATATATATAACCTCAAGTGAACTTGCAGAACAACCATCTCACAGTAAGCACTTGTACAGCCAGGGCAAATGTTACAAGAACTTTCCATTATCCAGGCTCAAAGTAGAGTTTGAGTACATATACCCTGGGAGGCAACAATAGTCACATAGTGGAATCCTATAGTAAAGACATATGATGGATTGAAGGATGACTATGGATGGAAGACAATCTCTCCAGAGATGAGACAGCCAGGTTATTTAGATAGTGAGCAATAAAGGTATGTGGTGTAGCCCACGTACCAGCCCTGAGAATTTCATCTAAAGAACAGTGAAAATGAGAAGCTAGAGAATTAACGTGTCAAACCTGGTGAGAAGTGACACAAAAGAGCTGTTGGTCATCCATCCTCAAAGAGGAGTATACCAGATAAATGAGTTGGCAGATCCATCCTGCTAGGATGGTGGGAGAAAGAGGTCAGTGTACAAAAAAATGAAAATGAAAAGAAAGTGATAGAAATCCTAAAATAGGAAGTGTGAGAAAGATAACAATGAATGTCCTGGACCTGACATAGGAATCTGTCTGGGTTCAAATACTCATAGAAATTAGATATAAAAGGAAAGGATATAAGCAAAAAGGTGTAGCCACATTCCCTAGCTGTGAAAGACTTGGTAATAAAGAACTGGTCTGAGTAAAAGAGTTCGGGAGGAAGCTATATGGCATAGATGTCAGAATGAAGGCAACCACAGGCAAGAAATAGAATAAAATGTTTTAGAGAGATATGATATAAGTAACAAGTTACAAGAGGTTCAAATGAGTCCTGGGTGATAGCATGAAGAACCACATTTAGGTTCCAGTCAGGTAAGGGAATGGGATGAGGTCTATGGATAAGGAAGGAATGGAAGAGGGTAGCAAAGATGGATGAAGAAAAAAATCCTGTGGTATTAAGAAAGGCAGAAGATAGTAGATAGTACCATCAAGTAACCTACTATGATAGAGACAGACAAGCCCAGGTCAAGTATTTACATAAAGGAGGAGGTAAGATATTGTGAAGTAATAAGCTTGTCATTTACATTGGTACACAGAAGAGGTGGAAGAGCAATAAGAGTGGAAAAGAAGGAAAGCTACACTGTTGGATAGTCCAGCTCAACAAGCAATAAACCAGACAAATGCCACACATGCAGATGAAGGCATGTCACTCCTTAATGAAAGAGTGGCATATGAAGTTGGATGAGAAAGGATGGAATGTTAGGAAGGAGAAGGGAAGCTTGAATAAGAGAAGGCAAAGTAAACCATAGTTTGGCAGGCTAATAAGGGGCCACCAACAGGACTCTGCAAGGAGTATCCTGAATCAGAGCAATGACTTGAGGAATAAGGCATAGAGGAGGATAGACATTGAGAACAATATGGGACCAGTCTTCATAGGAGCAGTGACAGCCAGGGAAGAAAGATGAGGTACCAGAGACTAAAAGAGAAGCTTGGTATTAAGGAATGTGGTGAAGGCATCTGTCTGGGAAGCTCCAAGTTGGGAGCAGATCCAACAGAAGACTTGTGAGTGTAGGGACTATTCCATGAGTCCCATCAAGAAAGACAGTCTGCAACGATGTTCAGTGCACCCAGAACATGACAGACTATTAACATCATCTGGACAGAATAGGCCTAAGAAAGGAGGTCCAACATCTGAAAGTAGAAGGTCCTGGAATTGGTGCCTCCTTGTCAGTTGATATGTGCCACAATAGTGGAATTGTCCAAGTGAATAATTACCAAATGATCCCCAAAGAGGAGAATAAAATGAGAGCATACTTGACAAACAGCAAGCAATTTGAAGGCAATGATATGTAGCGAATACTCCTCCTAAGACCAAGAGCCTAAACTCGGATAGCCATTCAGAGATGCTCCCCATCCAGAGAAAGAAGAATCCGTGAAAAGGTGAAGGTCCAGTTTGGGAGAAGGCAAAGGAATGTTGGAGGTGGTGTTCAGTGTAAGTAAGTTCTTTACTCACATCAGCAGAAGAAGAGTTCACATTAAACTGTAAATTCATATTGAATATAATGAAACTGAATCAATTGAAATAAAGTCACAAATCTCAGCAAACTCAAAATATGTCAATGCAAGAAAATGCTGAAGAAAAGAATGAGAATTCACAAATGTGAATATACAGGGATTCATTGCACATTGGTGGAGGGTTCTGCTGCATGATGACATCATCATGAAGTGGTATAAATTCATGTGGTTGCATGTGAAATTAGGTAGGAGTTTTCACGAGACTGGTAGCTTGGAAGTCTCTTTAGAAGAACATGCAAAAACAAGAGAATAGAAGCTATTCTATGTACATTCTGTTTCCATATTCAATATCATGTATTCAACCCACCATATTAGTAGTATTTGCCCCCCCAAAGAAATTGTAGAAGTAGCATTAAGTATGTTGTCAGCCTTAGTTACCAAATGAACAACTTTTTTGTGATAATTCATGAGAATTTTATCAAACTGAAGCAAAAATCCAACAACTAAAAAGAAAATAATAACTGACAAGTACTAACAAAAGTGATAACTGATATTAAACTAAACCTGAAAGTTTTATGAAAATAAAATTTTATATTTCCGAAATTAAAAATAAAATAAACTACATAATAATAATTCAGATTCAATGTACCTATTTCACTCAACTATTTGTACATATAAAATATATAAACTAAAGCTAACAAGATTCTACAATAATAATTGTAGCTTTAAAATCAATGGAATTTCCTAGTACTAATTTGTAAAAACATTAGCATATATATCTTCCCTCTGCAGAGCAGATTTTTCAAGCTCTGACATGTTTATATATATATATGTGTGTGTGTGTGTGTGTGTGTGTGTGTGTGTTCTTGAGTGTGTACAAATATAAACAACCTCAAAACACTTTTTTAGTAAATAAAAAGACAAAATAAAAAAGGGTAGGTTAACAGATAAAACTAACCTCCAGTAACATAAATTATGTGTGCTAAGCATATTTAACTTAGAACTCTCTTGTAGAAATTGAAATCTGATATTTTTTGCTTATTGTTATATACCTTAAAATTATTTAAGGGTGCCAAATTTTGTTTAATATAAGCACATAAAATTTTCATGATTTAAGGCTTTGGCCAAATTGTAATCAAAAGTTCCTGATCTGTAAAGCAGTAACTAGCAGTTTCCATGTAGTAAGTAGCCTGTCCTAACATAAAATAAAAACTTACCCATCTGGACTAAAGGCTGTGAGAAATGTGGATCGTACAGAACTTGGTAGTTTGCAGTGCTAAAACAGAAAATATGATAAAAATAATTTTTCAAGACTATCATCCAGTAAGATTATCTAATATTATTCATTATTTAATTTTTATCATTTCTATAAAATCCTAAATTGGTCAGATTGCTACATTGAATTAGTTAACCCTAGTTACTAGCATAGTTTGTTTAGTATACAGGTTTAACTTGTATGAGGTCATAGTGACCCAATGTTAGTGTTCTACGGTTAAGCTTCCATGCTGATTTATAAATAAATATTTCAGTGTTCCAACAGCTTCTAAATATTAATAAGCAATTTCTATTTATCAGAATTATAATAAATTAGATCTTACATAATAAATAAATTTAAGAAAATAGTACATTGTACAGTATAATTATTAAAATAAAGAATATCAGGAAAGTTATTCTACTATAAAAGAATTAATGTTCCTTTTGATATATTATAGTTTCAAACAAAAGTTTTAATTATACATGATAAAAAATTATTTTGTCTCTAAACTACTTTTTCTTGATTGTATATAATGTCAGCTTTAAGTTTAAAAATAAAACATGGCCTCTCAAAATCCTACCATTTCTTCTTGTTCTGATGTTGCAGCTTTATCTTCTGCTACTACTTGTAGTACATGATGAGCTGACACACTGCATTTGGACTTGCCAAGTTCTCGATGAAATAAAACTGAGACTGTGCTACGTTTGCATTTAGGAGTGGCTCTGGATCCCATCTTTGCTAAATTACTTACACTAACTTTATACATGTGACTGTAAAAAATTTTAGAAAGAAAATATATATTAAGTTCACAACAAACCAAAATGATTTATCATAACAAACAAGTTCAGCATGTCAATGATCAAACTAAGGGAAAATCAAACAGAACCTCTTTTTAAAGTTACAGTACCAAGTCCATCATAAAAATTAGCTAATTTTTCTTAAAGCCATTCTTGTTAAAACATTAATAATGTATTACCTGTAGTGTATGTATTATATATCCACATACTGTTCTATAATTATATTAAAACAATTATAAGTCATAAATATTTTAATGATGTATCTGCATATCAACAACTGTGCACCTTTAAATATAAATTCAGTGGATCTGATTCATTGATACTTCTTTTCATAATGGCATTTAGCACATTTTTTAAGTCATCAACACTTTCAATAACTCATAGTGCAAAGAAAGACTAGTTAAGTGTCAGCTTCATTTAAGGACTTTGCATGTTCGACATACCTAAAACTAAGAAAAAACATGTAGAATTTAGGATGAAATAATTTTACTGAAATTGGGGGTTTGTAAGTCTAACAAAAGGAACAGGCATCCAAGAGAAACATCCAGACAGGAGACTACATGATTAGAGTTGATCCAAACAACCCTCAGAATTACTCTTAAGTGTTAAGACAAGGTAAGCATGGGGTTAGAACCTGCAATAAGAATACTGACTTCAAAGGCAGTTGTAAGAAAGTAATTCACATGGGAAAGGTTATAGATAAATGTCTAATATTTCACATGATAAGTGTTTCATTTTGGAAAGAACAAATAAAACATTGTGCTATGGACTGACCAAACAAAGACTTGGTATTTTGAAGACTTTAGGTAAATGTTTGCACATATGTGATAATGAGAATTTTAAACTAGTGTGCGTCTGAAATCACCAGTTAAAACAGCAACTTTGGGAGATTGTACAGCACAAATAGAAAGAAGCACTGAATGATAATCTCATAACACTAGAAAACAAACATGACTGATGTAGTCATAAGGTTATGGAAAAGAAAGGACTACTAACTTGATTATTTAAATTATGTTCCACAATGAAAATATTATGTCTAATATTGCAACAGTGTTCATATGATTTTTTTTAAATTGTTGTATTGTTTTTGATCAGAGGGAGGTTTTAATATTACATGATGAGTGCAGATCAAAAATGACCTGAACAACAGAAACTGTTACAACATTGCACATACTTTAGACTCAAGACTTCTGACTACTTTACATAAAACCATTTCATCAAAATTCATAATATTAAAAGCACATATGTAAACAATCCTAATAATACACCTATATAAACATCATGTGATTACCAAAATGACTTTAGTCAGTCCCAATACAATAAATATTCAACCTTAATGTGAAGGATTTAGTGTCTTAGATAGAATTAAGAGAGAAACAGAACTATTAGATAATTGAGGAAAATACAGAAAATTTTATGTTTCACAAATATTTCATTATTACTACCATAGTTTGTCCACAGAGGCAAACCACGATAGTTATAAACGAAGTATTTCTGAAATGCACAAAATGTTTTGTTTTCCTCAATTGTGTAATTATGGAGTTTCACCAAAATACCAATAGTTTCAAGCATTAATTATATATAATTATTAGATCAACCTCTAGAATTACATTTGCAAAATTATAAAAATGTAGTTTATTTTATTCTTCTATTCTCTATAAAGCTTATACATAAAAATGTAAATGTTTTATTCATTATAACATCTATGTGAAAATTATTATATTTTTCCTAAATTGGTGTTTTTTAAATACTCTTGTGTGTTTATAAGTACTGGTATAGTACAAAATGTGCTAATAATTGCACAATGATTCACTATGTTCATGTAATTCTATATCATCCACACTTTTTCCCAGCAAAACTATTTCTCAATCTGTAGAATTATTCCCTTGATGTAATAGCATGAGCTGTTAAAATCTTTTAAAATTTTTGGATTATATAAGAGTACAATGATGGAAAATTATCTGAGATACCTAATTAAGCAGCTTAGTGGAAAACTGGTCTCAAGGCATGTGTGTAAACTGAGGGTACCGCTATCAAGTCCTGACAATGTTGGCTTCTTAATATTCTAATTAATTATATTGATGTTATAAGCAGTCTTCATATTTCTGGGGGTCATTGAAAAAAATATGATGATAAATAAAATGATCTGTGTACATGCTTGGATCATTAGTTAGCCTAGTATTAAGTGTGGGATGTCAACTGGAGGATCATGTTTCAAATCTGAAATTGTTGGCTGGTAATATGTACTGCAAGTCTAACATTGTTGTCTTTTGTGTGTTGGTTGTATGTATTTGTGTTGTTTAGTCTTCAAAAGAGTAAAAGGAATTATATGTAGATCACTGGCCTATGAAAACAGATTCAAGTCCTAAACAGGACAGAATTATTAACACCCAAGTAGATAAATGTGATGCTTTGGTTCAGTGTTTTGTTGGAAGAAGGGGTTGAAATGCCTTCTGTTACCTTGTTTATTCTTATTTCATTTCTCATGCAATTGAAGCACACCAGAATATTCCAATGAAAAAATTTTCATCTACATATTCTACATACTAAAAAATGCCATATCTTCAAAGCTATTCCCTCTAAGAATTGTGATAATTTCATAATGCACTATTTTTCATGAGTTTGATATTGTTGTTCTAAAATAGCAACCAGCATTTAAGTTAATTATTTTAACCCTTCTACTACAGGTGGGTGGATTCCACCCAGCTCATATTCCTCAAAGTAACCATAAAGAAGTTGTACTGCAACTTTTTAAAATGTACAAGTACCTTCATGAAATTTTGCAGATTATCAGTAAACATGACAAGGCATTCGTACAAAAAGTATCAGATTTTTAAATTAAGTTTTAACATTTTTTAATTAATTATTTGCTCATGCATTTTTTATTGTGAAATGGTGACTAACCAACATGTGAAGTAATTTTGATTTGAAGATTAAAATTACTTTTATGCATCAGAAAATTGTCAAATTTCACGTGCGAAATCTCTATAACCTTCAGATAATTACTAAACTTTTTTTTTAGAAAAAACTATATTTCATGTTATTTTCACTATTGTATCTCTTATGGGTTTGGTCAATTAAACAAACCTCATAACCACCATAAAAAAATAGGAAACAGATAAAAATAAATTATGCTTATTTCATTCTAGAATTACTACAAATTATAACACAATACCACAAAAGTTTAGTCTAAATAGCTTAAATCTCATAACATTATACATATAAAAAATTCACTATTTTTATTTTATTGACCTTTCAGCAGTGTCTGGCTAACATTACAGATGTTCAATGACATAGCACATGTGCACTCATATTACCATATCCAATAATACAAAGCTGGACTTTACAAAGCGACCTGTCTTGGCTGTCACATTTCAGTTATAATAAATTATATATGTATATACATTATTACAATTTACAAATAATTTCTTAAATTTCAGTTGTTTTTCTTCAAACATAGAACAGTAAATAAAGAAGTATAGAAAACAATTATCTCTTCTAGTTATGAACTTTGTACTTGTTTGCCACTTGCCATAATTTGCTAAGCCTTATCAAATTTCCCATGTGAAGGATGCGAAACAAAATACTTTTTTTAGGTTTTATATACGCATTTTGAAATAACAAAAAAAATCATAAATTACTATATCAATACTACAAAATTCCACTATAATTAACATAACGATTCTTTTATTATTTACTTTTAAATTTAAAATTTAACTAATGTATAATACTAAAAATTTGGATTATACTTTACAATTTGATCCCAAACTTATTGACATACATTCATAAAATGGTAGTTCAATAAAATTTTGAATGTAAGTCTACAAACATGGTGACATGGCCTTTGACCCATGACCATAGGAAGACCCATCTCTGTATGGTTAAAGTACTGTAATTTGGAAAGTGGCTAAGACAGGGACTATATTGTCAATGAACATAATTTTCTCAAAAATACATTGAATGTATTACCTGTATTAAATCCAACTTGTCCAGAATTTAAGATTGAGCTACAACATACACTTTTTAGAAACTGCATATCAAACTGGGACTTTCAACATCATAATTACATTGACTATATATATGGGGTTTAAAATTTAAGTTTACATGTAACAAATTGTTTATTGAAGACACTGGTTCCTAGCCCACAAGATTCATACCATTAAAAAATAAATAGTAATAGACAATTACAGAAAAACAGCACAAAATTATGAATCATTATGAATGTTTATTGTTCTCTACTATATTTTTGAATAGATTAGATTATCTCAGCAATGGATTGAAATATTACATTCCCAAGGAATTTCATCTTTTTTAATTGGCTTTCTCAACTGGAAATGCATGGTTCACTGTATTTCTTTAGTTATGACCAATGAAAGTGAACATATTGCATGGATTACATAAAAAAACAATTCATGAGGAAATGCAACTTTACATGAGAGAATGTAATTTTATTTCATTATTTCTATCCCTGTCAGCTGTTTTGACTTTAACACAAGCAGTTTAAAAACAGTTACAATCCAGTCTTTTTTAAGTTTTAAGATATACACTGAAATATAGCTTAAAACTAAAAACCAGACAGACATTGCATAAATGTTAATGAAAAAGTTATAAAACTATTAGCTAGTTTATTTAACTCTTCAAAAGAAAACTTTTTTTTTTAAATTACTCCAGACTTCTAATTTTATAAAACTAATTAGCATACATGATATTTGACAACACACTGATATACTGAATGTGAACTAATAAGCCACCTGTTTTGAAATATTAATTAAATAATAACAGCAAGATAAAAATATTCACATACTTACATGTACACTAAGAGTCTCAGTATATTCAGTGTACAAGGTAAAAAATCATTTGCACACATTTTCTTATTGTTATAGTATTTTACTATCACCTCTGTGACCAATAATATATATGGAACTGTCAGTGTTATAGAACAATACATATTTCCAAATTCCATGGTAATTTTT